CTTTTAATAAAAGTCATCACTTTTTAAAGCAATTTTAATTCATATTTGTAGATTTAATGGTTTATAAGTGTATTTGGGAAATACTCAATTTATGAAAAAAATGAATGAACCATGATTTAGTACTTTATTCTTATGGGTCCATGAAAATGGAGGACAGAAGCAGGTTTTTATTTATTTAATTTTTTTCTTGAGAATCAGAGAAAGATGACAAAAGCATTTAATATTAAGAGTACCTATCCTGAGGTTCATGCTAAGCATTCACCATGGAGATAAAAAGAGACAGCTTTTTTTTTAAAAAAAAAAAAAAAATTCTATTGTTTTTGTTTTTTTAAATTTGAGAATGTGAGAAAGTGGGAAGAAATGATTGCCCGTGAAATGCCTTCAATTAATCAAGAGTGCATTGGATTGATTTTCCTTTTTATTTTAAATTACATGATGAATATATTTTATTTCTCTATTCATTTCACTTGCACATTAGGGGAGTTGATTATATAGTCTTTTATGTCACTTGAAGGAGCACTGACTATCATTAGAATGCCTTAGCTAGTTCGCAAGTTTAATTAATTAAAAGGAAAGAACTTTTTTTTGAACAAGTTGTTAAGGGGTGGGCTTCCATGGGAGAGGAGAAATACATCTCAAGTTCAAGCTAGCAAACTGTCAGTTGGTCCGAAAGGTTAGGTACAAAAAGAGAGAACTTTAATTCCTTTTCATAGAACAAAATTTCAACAATGTCCCCCTTAGAAGAAACCAGAGGTATATCCTTCAACGCCTGTAAAGAGGAGCAACTGTGTTGTATTGTAACACTTGGGACTGTCTGTGACAAACAGAAGAAGTTTGAGATCAGGAGGTCCATGTGTGTGAGATTCATCTAGAATACCAACTTCTTTGATATGTGCTGCCTTTTGTGAGGTCTTCCTCTGCAAAATGACCACTTCCCATTGGAGGACCATTTTCAGAGAGGGTGCTGGAAGTTGCTCCTCCCCGGAAAATTTCTTCAGCTGAGCTTGATAAACTAGTGAACAAAGAACCTGGCCAGTGCCCAATTTTCTCATCCCCTTTATCTCCATAAGCAAGCCACCAGTTTCCTGATTCCTGTTCCTGAAATCACAAAAACATCCAATTAATTTATCTTCATTAATTCTCCAGAAATTATATATATATGTTGTTAGGAGTTCAAACATTGCCTTATACACAATAAATTTCATTTAATATTGCTTTCCTCCAAAGATAGAGGCCATAAGAGATGCAGTAAGGGTGACATCCTTATTAACTTGTACAAAATAAGGGAAAAGTAGATTAAAACAACCATTGTTGCCTGACTGCAAGGATAGATAAACATGATCACATGTTATGTTACAATTAGTAACATAGTAATCATGGTTTATGTTGGCAAAATGAGTGAAGCTAAAGGAAATTTTGAATGCCTTGCAGTCCACATTGCAGTAATTCGAGAGAGACCATCTCCACATAGTGTTGGATTTACCATGCATCCAACATTGATGCTATTGAGTTGATATGGTGTTCCACTCTGAATAATTAAAAATGCTTGGCTACTGCTTTGTTCATCTCCTAGTACTGGCTTTTGTATATTGATCAATCCTGTAGCTCCCAAATATTTTGCATTTCCTGGTGGTAGTAGCCATCTCATTGCAACCTTACAAATGTTGAGCCGGGATTAATTAGCCCAATGTATGAATCAGTAGGTCAACAAATAAACAAAGAAAGCATGTCTTACATGGGAACTGGGAGAATTAGGAGTGTTTGGATGAATTTTGTTTGCTGTAAAATTTTTAGCCCTGATCAGGTCTTCTTTACTTGTCCTCCTGATTGGAATTGTACCAGAAGGGCAACCTTCATTGTTAGATATCCCCTCAATTTTCAATGGATGGACAGAAGTAGATGATATTGATGAATTTGAAGTCATCAACCCCACTGGATATATAATAACTTGGTATCATCTATATTTTATGATTTTTAAGGAGGGGATGATGGAAGGCTGGCTGATTTTAGATATCCACAGAGTCAAATATATCACCAACTTCACTTGCAAAAACCAGTAAAAATACCAGATTCAGCTTAATTAGACATATTATTTCAGCTGACATTTTTTTGTTATCCAAAGTAGAAGCAAAGGTACCTTGATGCTTTTGACATGGGGCTTGTTCAAGATATGAAGCTGCTGGTCTAAAGAAAGATGTTCAAAACTTGTTTGCACTTTTGATGCATTTACGATGATTGAGAAATACAGAGAGAAAAGAAGAAGAAATGGAGTTACAAGGCCACCCATTATTGTAAGTGTCATAAATGAGGGTTAGCCCTTTGAGTTTCTCCATCACTGTGCCCATGTATGTAACCACATCACAAGACTGCTCTACATGGAAACACTTTCTTCAATTCTTCATATATTGCTTAAAATGTCATTTCTACATTCTAAGAAGTAAGAACTGATTTAGAAATAATATCTAATTTTTTGGTGAAATTACCATAAAGAAAAGAGTTTAAACGGTCATCATTTTGAGAAGACTATAAGATGGCGAACATTTAATTCTTTTATCTTTAAATAAACAAATAAAAATTTGAGTTCACAACTAACTCTTATAATTTTTATATGTCTCATGATAAAGTATACTTCCAACTTTAAAGCTGAGTTCAAATCTTTTTACCTCAAATTGTAATTTGTTAAAAAAATAAATAAAAATTTGAGTTCATTAAAATACTTAAAAAATACCATTTTTTAATTTTAATACCCTTAAACATAGAAACTCTTGAAACCCAATAGTTATATTAAGCCAAAAAAATTAAATAGATCTAAATACTCTAATTTTATTATTTTTATCATTTTCAACTCATTATCTATTTATGAAGATTGTGGTTTTACTGGATATACTATGAAATTTTCAGATATATATCAGTAATAGCTTGAAATTGTCAAAAAAAGAAAAAAACAACAACAATAACAACAACAAATCTTCATGTTCCCGTTGAAGATATTGTTGTATGATAGAGTAATTCTTCAGTTTTCAATAAAAATATTATTACATACTACATTTTTTAAATATAGACAAAATTAATCTCATATATATATATATACTACCTTTATAATTAATAACAAAGTTACAATACATTATGTTAGTAATATTAAATAAGTGGATGTGGCCTTGTTATGTACCAAATTTTAAGTTAATTCCAAAGAAGTCCTTACTGTTCCAGTCAGCAAATATATGAAATTAAGGGGGCAAAAGAATGGCAAAATTTCCCACCCCTCACCATCCCTACAAGACCCACCCGAATGGGACAAAGATGGGGAAAACCTTCTTCTCCATGGAGTGAGAGGATGAAGAAGGTTTCCTTTATGAAATTTCATAAGGAATTTTTCTTGCTTTACTCTTGTCCCTGTAATGAGTTCCATTTCTCTATAAAATTAGAATACACACATAAAGTATTTATTAATAAATTATTTTAATAATTAAGAGTTTGCATCTGAATCTCGTAACTTAATAATTATATACTGATAATAAAATTGAATTGAGATTCGAATATCTCATATTTAAATAGTAAACCGTTCAAAAAAAATTAAAAGCTTAAATTATTATATTAAAAATTTTAAATTCAAAATTTCAAAATGAATAAAAAGGAATTTAACATTGAGAGAGCTATATTTTTTTTTTGGTTTCCCGTTCGGTATCGAGGTTTCGTCTCGAGTAATTCGGACTCAACCGGCGTTGCGTATCTAAAAATGGTGGGTGAGTCTCCCAACGGAGACTGCTGCATACACAAGGGCTCGAACTCAAGATCTTACTTAAACTGGAACAAACCGCTTACCACTTGATCCAACCCTTCATTGGTTTGAGAGAGTTATATACAACAAAAGCCCGTCATCCTAAGAACCAAAAAAATTGGAATGCAAAAAAAAATAAAAAAATAAAAATAAAATTGGTGGCAATGGGATTCCTGCCACAAGAATCGAACATTTTGCTCCCAAGCAAAGTCAGCAACGGAGTTCCCCATTCCGGAGGTTGACAGTGATAGGTCTGGGATCACCCTCCCCTGCTTTTGCCCCGCCCCACCCCACCCCATTGCTATTCTTACACAGGGATTCTAGAAACAAAAGGCATAATGAACTTGCACCACAAAAAAAAAAAGTAAAAAAAAAAGAGGTATGATACAAGGCATCATAGAGGAGACTCGTACAATGACGGAAGGTAAGAAATAAGAATACAACTGAAACATCATATTCCATGTTAGAGGTACATAATACATTTCTTAAATTACAAGCATTCTGACTCCATTCTTCCGTAGTTCCATGGAGAGATGCTTTAGATCATCTCTTGAATAAGGATTACACCGAATCAAACAGCTATGAAATATCTTATTTCATTGATGAACTTCAACAATGTCCACCAGGACCCCCATAATAGAAACCATGAGGATGTCCTGAAATAGGAGCTGTATCGTAACAATTAGGACTACCTACTACAAAATTGAGAAATCTTGGATCAGGAAGTCCCTTGATGTGGGTGTCATCTATCATTTCTTTATCACGTATATACGTTGCCTTGGTCTGGCCTCCTTCTGCAAAATGGCCACTACCCATTGGAGGAGTATCTCCATTCTCGCCAAAAACCGCCCCTCCCTGTGCAAGCCATAGGCAAGCCACCAGTTCCCTGTTTGTTGATCCTGTAAGCACATAAACAATTGAAGCATTAAACTCAGCAGGATGTCTCAGAGAAACTAATTACCTTTTAACTTTTGAACATACCTTAATTACAAATAATCCTAAATCAAATTGCAGTCCTCCATAGACAGAAACATTTTGGAGAACTGAACCAAGAGGCAAATTACTGTTGACTTGCAACAAAACCAGGGCAGAGTAGATTATAGCAACCCACATTGTTGCCCTGTGGACAAAGACATAACATGTGTTGTATGTCTGTATAGATAATAAATATAAGTATTAATTTAAACAAATGGCTGAAGAAAGAAATTTCGATGGCTTACAGTCCAGAAGGAGAAAATTCAAGTACGACTATCATCCAGTAGTGTTGGATTTACTTAAAAATTTATATGGAAAAAAAAAAAAGAGGATTAAAATGTGGAAAATGGAAATTTGAAACAAGAGCTGATTCGGGTCAGTAAGTACTGATTACCATCCATACAGCTTGAATGGTTTTAAGTTGATTGTCTAACAAAGTTTGGAGTTGCACAAATGCTTCAATGAATTGGGTATTTGAGGCTGAAGGATTTTGCACATTGATCATAGCACCACCTCCCAAGTATTTTCTACTAGGATCTGATGGTAGTAGCCTTATTGCATTGTTGAAAGTAAACACAAGGAATAAGATAAAGAACAAGATATATCATAACTTTTTTATATGTTGTATGTAGACAAGTGGTAGTGTGGGATGGAATGGATGCACTGAAAAACTGACTAGAATGAGAAAGAAAAGTATAAACGCATAACCAATAATACCAGAAACAAAACTGGGAATGACTTACGTGAAAACTGGTAGTGCCACCAGCAGTTGGATGCACATTGGCCATGCGACCATTCATAAAGGTCTTGGCCCTTATTATTTTTTCCTTGCTGGTTCTCTTGATTGGAACTGTACCATATGGGCACCCAATTTCCAGTAGCTTAGGTGATGCTGAGTTTTTTCTCGTCAAGTCCATAGCAGAAGAACTGGGCTTCATCAAATAGTTTCCATTTACATAGCAAGAAAAAAAAAA